ATTTTATGCACTTATACACAGGTGTTATTAAAAATAGCAAAAGATCATTCACCTTTAAAGATTTAATTGATGCCAACTACAAAAGGTAAGCTAAATTTTAAAAATAAAATATACACTGTTTCATATGTTGTAGCACTTTACCTTTTCTTACCTATCTCTTAGTCTGTTGGACCTTTAGGGCACCATGCAAGATTTGTTGACCGTCTTTCTACATTCCTCTCTGTCTTTTGCCTTAGAACCTCTTTCAATGGCAGGCTCATCCATTCTTTCATGTTGTCTTCCCATTCCCTCTGCCTTCTTCTTTTTCCTGGTACTGTTCCTTGAAGGAAGGTCTTTGTGAGCCCCGAAGACCTTGTACTATGGCCATAGATTTTTAGCTTGCATTATTTTAGGATAGTTAGCAAGTCATCATGGGCGTCCAATCGCTGCAGTAACCCTGTCTCTAATCTCTTGGTTTGTGATGCGGTCTTTAAATGTGATACCTAGGATCCTTCTGTAGCATCTCAATTCCATTGCTAGGATCCTCCTGTAGCATCTCAATTCCATTGCTAGGATCCTCCTCTCTAGCTCTGAAGTCAGTGTCCAAGACTCACAAGCATATAAATATGTGGTCATGACTAGGGAGCACATCAGTCTAATTTTGGTGCTGAGGGCTATGCCGTTGTCTTTCCATATTATTTTGAGTTTTGAAAGGGCTGCTGTGGATGTGCAATTTGGGCCAGTAGTTCAGGTTGTGCTCCCTCATCTGAGACAATAGCTTCGAGGTATTTGAGACTACTGACACTAGTAAGCTTTTTAGCAAGGTAATCAAAATTATCAAATCTGCCTGAAAATTTCTTTTTATAGTTGATATTCAAAACAGCCATTAAATTTTCCTCCCAGAAAGTTCCAGTCCATTAAATTATTTGATGTTTGTTGATCATTAATGTATTTGATGTTTGTTGATGAAATGTGTCTTTCTATTTAATTCTTCTTGCCTTGCTGTATTCTAGCCATCCAATTTTTGCTTGTATTGGAATGCAAAACCATGAAGCCTCCTGGAAGTCTGCCTATGTACTATGGCCTTATGGTGTGTGCTTCCAGCTAGTTGACAAAGACAAAGAGCTAGACATATCAACATGGACCAACTACACGGCTGATTTGGCAAGTGCCTGGACTTATCCCTTGAACAGGTAAACATCTAGCACCACCAAGTGGTGACCTTGGAGATTAACGTCACAATCACGCCAATTATCTTATTTTCTCACTTAGATAAAATGAATTTTTCTAAGGAAAAGTTTAATTTTATAGAGTAGAGTAAGTCAACATAATTTTTTTAAAAATTATCTAAGATTTATCATCTTGTTCCTACATTTAATCCATAAATATTGGGAAATCTCAAAATGCATTCTGTCTCTTATAAAATCATAAAAGAGGAACAAATTATATAGACAATTTTTTCACAATTAGGGTTTTGAAAAAATTCATGCAAAGAAAGTAAGTGCTACTAAAATTATGTTTTTATTGTAAACAAAAAGTGCACTTCCAAAAGTATAAATAAAGAAGAACAACCTTTGCACCCAGTAAATAGAACAGAGAGAATCAACATTTACAATTATAAACAAACAACAAATACCAAGCTGCTTGATGAGAATAAAGCTGTGCTGGTCTGGGCTGAAACATTTCTCTGATCAATGGGCTGTAAATAGCCGAGGGTTAGAGACAAGATTTCTTTTTCAACAAAATATGACAGGTTCAAATTAACAATTTTTAAACCGTATTAGTTTATCCTGCAGAATAGTTCATAATGAACCAAATTAGCAATTTCAGCATTGATTAGTTTATCCTGTAGATTACTTTATATTGTAATGCCTGGCCCTTCCAAAAGACCAAGAAAAAAAAAAGAAAAGTGTGCTGAATCTTTAAGAATCAGGTGTCTAGATATTGGACGTGGATATCGTCACAGTGTCTTTCACATAAAGACTTTAACAAACTTAATTTTTCATTTTTTTCTTATATCTCTGCAGCTTGAATGATGGATCATGGGAAAATGTGGCCAGTTCAGAAATGTGGAGGGCAAAGTAAGACAATCCATTTTATTGTTCAGTTCTTTCTCATGCTTCATTTGTGGCTAGAAATATTGTCAGTAATTCAATGATGAATAATATTTATAATTTATTAAAATTTATTTTATAATTTTGATGATGTTTTCTAGTTTGTACATTTTTTTTGTTCAATTATTCTTTGTTGGTGACAATACATGAATCCATCCAAAAAATAAATTAGTCAATTAATCAGTGTTAATGTAATCATTATATTTTATGTAGAAGAGGGAAGACTAATCTTAAAATTACTTTAGAAACAACATTTCATGTAACAAATTTCAGCTTAGTTACATTTTTTACACATTGTGATGGCATTGTATATGTTACAATCAATGTTCTGAAATCGAATTCCAGAACTGTAACAGCATTATTTTACCTGGAGGAAGCTTTAGAACACCAAGAGAACAGTCCAGAATATCTCCAACTTCTTCAAGAATCATATCGGGTAAAAGCCTTCACTTTAATTTTACAGTAAATGATACATATATAGTGTATGTAGTTTGAGTTCAAGTTATTAAGCTGAAGTAACAATATATTTCTTCTTTTAATTATCTTTACTATAAGTGTGAAGGGTGGTTGAGAGACCAAGTACACTTGGCCCCCCCCCCCCCCCCCTCCCAAACTGGTTCACAAATGAGATTGGACCATAGCGCTCTGAGCATGCTATAAGCATGAAAGTAGGGCTATATAAAAGCTATAATTTTTATTTAATGTAAGAATGTTATTTCTGAATGCAATTTCTTTTTTGTGTGTGTTCAGTTGTACACCAAAGAGTTCAGTGCCCATGGCATTGTGCCCAGCTATTGGCATCGCAACTATGCCATTGTCTGTGAGAGGTTGATACATGTCCACACCCAGCTGGACCACACCTTGTTGTTGAACAAAACTATTCACCACTTTAATCAGTTTCTGGAAATGGAGCCAGGGGATGTTGATGCTGACAACATTAGGAAAGCTGTGACATCACTCGAGAGCTACAGATCAAGTCTTTCTCAGGCTCATCATTAGTTCTCATTAAGTCTTTATCAGAGCATTAGTTTTTGATCATATCATAAGCTCATTACCATAGCATCAGTTCTTTATCAAATTATAATTTCATTATCAAACCATTAGTTCTTTACCAATTCATAAGGCCATTATCAAACCATTAGTTTTTTATCAAACCATTAGTTCTTCATCTAATCATTAGCACTTACCACATCATTAGTTCTTATCACATCATTCATTTATGGAACATCAATAGTTCTCATTAGCTTTTTCATCACTTAATTAAGTCTCATCACTTTAGTTCCTTCCATTTATCCCACAATCAGTCCTAATAACATCATTAGTTTACAGAACCTGATAGTTCAATATGGTATTTCTTACTATTCAGTGTGAGGCAAGTTGTTACTCTCATCTGCTTCAATCAATGTCCCCACTGTTCTAACATTTATATTTACAAGGTCTCCTAACTTCTGCTCATCAGAGACCAGGGGCTGGAGTGGTGGCCCTTACATGGAATAGTGATGGTGTATAGGAACATGTATTAATTAGTCACTACCATTGTGGAATCTTTAGACAGGACTTGGGGTGAATAGCTCCTGGTCCATAAATGGTCATTGGATAAAATGCTTTATAGAGGTCCATTGGGATAATGAGGCCTGCAATGCCCATTCTCTACTGGATGAAAATGCAATATTTTTAGGTCAGTTTAAAAAGCATAAATGTTTGTTTTAACAAACAAAATAACAGCAGGCACATTTCTTTATGCACCTTATTTTGTGCAGAGTACTAACATTGTCATGAAGCTTGCATTCAAATGTATGAATCTCCTCCAATCTAAGTCATTCATTTATAAATATTGTTTGACTGAGTGTACAAGTATTTTATTATAGTTCATTGTGTAGCTGGTATAATCCCTGTCACCTGCAGGCTGGGCTCATGTTCAGGGACTGGGTATTAACAATTATTGTCAATTTGACAAATGCATTTCTTGCAATAAGCCCAAAGTCTTTTATTGTCAGCATATATTATGTTTATGTTTTCTATTTTAGTGAGATTATGTCATTATAATGAAAGTCTTGAAATGCCCCTATCACAACATTTGTCTCACCTTCTTGAGTGTTTTTATACAACTGTGGAACTAATACATATTGGACAATTTTTTTAAAGCATATATTTAATTGTAGTCATTCACTGTCTCCATTTGACAATTTGACATGTAGAATGCATCACATGTTCTTCATTTAAAATATAATATATATATTATATTGTACTCACTAAAATCTTGAGCCTAATTGTTTTACGGTCAACGCTTTCATGTATTTTTTAATGGCTAATGAGCAATATACAAATGCACTGACCACTGTACAAATAAATTAAATGCATTTATGTCCCCTTGAAATTTGATGTGTTTGAGGAACACCTTAACAATTCATTTTCATGTTCATTTTAATTTTTAGTTACAATTCTAGTAAGATTTGATTTTAAAATCAGCTTAGAGAACATAGTGTCTTGTCTTTATGCAAACTGCGTTTGTTGTTGAAATATATAGAACCTATTTTTTGATGAACTATAAAAGAGTAGTCAATAAAAATGTCCTGCCTTAGTGAGAAAAAAACCCTGATAAATTTCAGATATTGCAGATGGCCAACTTCTTTTGTTTTTGCCATCTTGCGCTGGTCACATTGTCTTGTTGATCTGATGCATCTTAGTTTTTTTATGCAAACTTACCAGATATGTTTGAACTCCAGAGTTATTCCTGTTATGTAAAACACTCTTATACTCAATCTTTCAATTACATGTTCAATGTCTAGATACTGTCTATTTTTGTTACACTATGCACTTCAGGAAAAAAAAACATTTCTACAAGAATTTATTTTCTCTACATGTTTTTAAATCAACTCAATTTCCATGGCAGCACAAAAACTTATTTTAACATGTATTTTGTGTGGTGTATGATTTTGAAATGTTTACTGTACAGATTTTTAAATATTTTGTACAATTCCTCAATATTTAATTGAAAGTTGTATGACTTGTTTTTTGATTGACTAACAAAACTTTTACTTACAAACTTGTTACATTTATATTGATGTGATCACGAACTGGCTACATTGGTATTGGTAACTGTGATCACAAATTGGCTGGGTAGAACTTAACTTTGTTGGCAGGTTCCATGTTTAACTGTCTCATTATTTCCTGTGCTGCATCACTTTTTCTGCATATGTCACTGATGTAGTGATCCTTGAACTCACTCTGACCTCTAACCTGAAACCTTCTTGGTGCAAGGATCTCCACAGGCATTGAAAAGAAATACCCAGATCTTGATTTCTTAAGGTCAATGAAGTTGCTGCCCAAGTAGATCACTGCAGCACTCTGGGAAGCAAATAAAAGTTTAGAAATGTAGATACACAAAAATGTTGAATCTTTGGTGAAGCTTATGTCACAGTGTAGCTCTTTCTTAAAATTTTAAAAGTTTTTTTTTTTTTATCTTTTTGTAATGTTTATGATCGCTTGGCATTGCTAATCTTGCCCTCCCCACCCTCCTAAAAGTACACATAATTTATTTTTTTCAGTTTTGCTTGTGTGCTATATTAAATGCTGTTTCACTGTGACCCATCAGTTCTGTAACACTACTACCCCTCTTCCCCCCCCTTTAAAAAAAAAAACAGATCAGAAGGAATACAAACATTAGTTTCCTACCTGAGACCCTGTCCACCATTGCCTGATCCTGCTACACAGCCTGTCAATGTAACTCAGTTTGTTTGATTTCTGCTTTAGGCTGTCTGGCGCCTTGATAGTATTTCAAGAATGTTGTGCATATGATGTTTAATCACATAATAATGTATTTGCATATGTAACAGTATATTTTCTAATAAGGTATGCAGTAAGTAAAAGTAAATTCCCCTTTCAGACCTTGAGATCTCTAGATGATGTAAAGGTCATCAGTTTCTATGGCTCGCGGTTAATGAGAGTATTATGTGGCCAGCACAACAACCAACCACCTTTACTTTTTCCCAACTAATGTCAGGTACCCATTAGAGCTGGGTGGACTCAGAGGCACACAAAGATCATGAAATTAAAAATCCCAGTCTTTACCAGGGTTCAAACCCGGGACTTCCTGTTTGGTAGCAATGCGCTTTATCACTCAGCCGCCACGCCTCCTAATGTGGTACACATTTATTCAAATACTTTTTCTCTGTGCTGGTTGTTAGTGACATTTCCTAGTTGCTTTTTTTTTGTTATGATGGGAATGTATTTTTTTAAACCTAAATTGTTTGCTTAATCTTTGTATCCTGTGTTTATTTGATATAAATTGTTGTCATATATTATATATAAACTCAACAGTGATTTTGTGTGATTATCTATTGTTGTGTTTATTTGTTAAGTTCAAAGAAGAGCTGCAGAATGACAATGGTATTTCATTATCTACTCACCAAGTCGCCGTCAACAGCGATTATCTGTGTAGCTGTGACAATGTTATTAAGTTTTTGTGACAGTAAGTTGGCTGCTATCACAGCCATGTCTCCTGTCACTATGACCTAGAGTAATGGAGGAAACTGAACATTAGATTTTAGTATTAGATAAGTAGAGTAAATTCTTTTGAGGAAAATAAAAATGTTATGTACAGCTTTAGCAAGGAAGCTTACTCTAGTGATTTTTCTGTAGCTGCAAACATTGAATACAACCTGAACCATGATATTTTTCAGATTTAAAAAAAAATTATTTAGCCAAATCACTAATAAATTATTTAGCCAAATCACTAATAATTTTTTTTACCAAATCACTAATACATTTTTGGCCGATAGCAAGAAGCTTCTTTCAATCAAATTTCTTTTTTCAAGTTACATTTATTATGAATAAATCGCACTTTATTGCTTCCCATTGTAACAACAGCCTACACCCTGCCATGCACCATGGCATGTCTCATTCAGGTCACCCCAACCCTGACATACATCAAGGCCTGTCACGTTTAGGTCACCCTGACCCAGCCACATGCCATATACTGGGCAAACATTTGAACTGCAACACCAAGGATGAAGTTAATGATCCTTGTGTAGTCAGAAGTCTGACAGTGTCAATATTACAAATAGGAGCCCTAACTGTTGTGTGTGTGTGAATAATGTGTGGGTATATTCTTATCTATGGACATAAATTAGATGGAGTTTCCAGACTGAGGATCTGGTTTTAATTATGTTAATCAGTTTGAGATAATGACCAAAGCTGCTTAAAATAATCAAACTTGTACCTGAAACCATTTACTTTAAACTGATCATTTAGCATTTTGGCCAGACAATATCTTTTAAAATATATAAAGCTACTTGACAAATATATCATTGCAATATCTTCACCATGTTTAAGAATATGTCCTACACATCAGCTTTTTATTTACCCCTATTACATCTGTAGGGTATGCAAATATATTTTATTTTCAAATACACTCCGTGTTCTCCCCTCCCTTTAGCCCAGCGGTTCTCAACCTTTTATGCTCAGCGACCCCTTTTTACAATCCCCCTCTCTGTTGCGACCCCCCCCCCCCACACACACATACTGCAATACAGGAATAGACAATAACAATCCATATTTTCGATGGTCGCGATCCACAGGTTGAGAACCCCTGCTTTAGCCGATGTACACAGCAGCATGATGGTGTTATGCCTTTACAAAAAATTGACAGCCATTGCTACAACTTTCCTTCCGCTGATTCCCACAAGTGTGTACGCATCCTTAGGGTGACATTTCCCACAAGTGTGTACGCATCCTTAGGGGGACACAAAGAAAAACAGAGTAACATTTTTCATGGCTGAAACCAGGGAAAGGAGAAGTACAGAAACATACATGAGACTGACGCCACTGACTCGGCGTCACAAGTTGCGTCAGTTCGTTAATGTAGCTGACGAGTTGGTCCATTGCGCTTGGGTATGGTGGGTCACGTGTGATGTTACCATGGCAACAGGGTGCAGACAGAGCAATCATCACAACATCCGGTCTGAGGTTCGTGTCTAGTAATGAAGCACAGCCTGTAATAGCTGCAATGAACAAAAGTTCTAAATCACAACTTTCTAAGCATACCTTAACAGAAAATATTCATGTTTACATTCGCTCTTCTAGAGATGTACATTTTTTCATATCACCTAAGTGGAACCAACAACAGCTAGACTGCATCCCTTCCGCAATCACTTTGAACTGATCTTTACATAACATGATCTCAGTATACTTGCTTATGTACTAAAGCAGGTATTCATTGAACTAACGACTCAAGGTTCAGTCCGACTAATAGTCAATTACATAGTCTGCTTAATTTCTGGGCATTTTTTTTTTTCAATATCAATTTATTTTTTACTTTCGAAGACGAAAACAATCAAGAACGATAACTTACGAACAGAAATAGACTAGCAGACGATTAATGATTCAACCAATATAAATAATAAAAGAAGAGATGTAAGCGATTGCATTATGGATTCATTTACCTTGCACCAAGGTATAGGCACAGTCTTGTATGTCGAAACATAGGTCATGGACCTGCTGAATGCTAGGTCCTTGGATGATAAGATGAACTTTCTAGAAAAAAAAATTAGATTATATCTTGTCTATAATTACATTTACTTGTTGCAAAAATTACAGTTCAATGAATTTTTTTTTTTTGTAGGCTTACAAGCCAACAACGCCAACAGATATAGGCCTATATTTGTCGACTAGGTTCTTTTTATTCAAATTAAGCACTTAATAAAAGCTTACCTGATCAAGACCGAAAACATGTCCTGATGCTATCTGGTTGACTATTAGATCACACGAGTTCAAATCTTCAATACACAGACCTACCACAAGGACCTTTTTCTCCATAGCTGGATCTCATACAGCGCAATTGTAGACTTATGATGATTAGTAGTTAGAAGCTTTGCAAAATAAATGCAATACAATACAATAATTACAAACCAACTAAATTCTGAAACACGATTTACACATAGAAGACATGCTTTTAATTCCAGTAGGTTTCATACAATTCATTTGTGAGAAGCAGGATTTTTTTAATGTTGTAACAAAGTCAAAGTCTAGAAATAGGCTTCACGCCGTGTAAGATATTGGAATTCAGATTTTTATATGCATATCATATGTATACAGGGCCGCCGCGAGGGTTGTGGCCACCTGCGTGCGAAATTTTAAAATGCAGCCCCTCCCCCCTTATTTTATAGAAAAAAAAATCATTATGACTGAGCTGGACACTGTTCCAAAAGGGGCATTGGATTAAAATCCATTTTTATAGGCCATTCTATTTTTCCCTTTTATATTCGCACAGTTGTTGTAGCCCTCAAGTACAACTTGGAATCATGAATCATGCCCTAGGAACAATTTCGGACATACCTGCTTACAGAAATCTGGCATCTTGTTGTTTTTTTGTGTGTGATAAACTTAAAAAACGTATCTCGTTCAGACGACTAGCTTATGCTCCTGTATTTGTGACGATGAGTTTATAATTGATAAGCTTCGGCAGGTATATTACAATGAACAGCGGAAATGATCATGATCTATTTACCATTCCTCGATAACTTTAACTATTCAACAGTGTTCTATGGTCTGGACTCTGATATGTTCACTTGTTTGTTATTGTAAAATAAAGCATAATCCGAAAAAAAAAGCTCGAAATACAAAAAACCATTGACAGTGGAACTTTTTCAACGTTCTGTACACTTTCATGATAATCATCACGATTGTATTATGGAGAGATGTGCATTGTATCCACAAAGATCTGACATACACGGATTCAGAGTGGCCTATAAATTTTTCCAACAAATGAATCAACTAAGCGTTTAAGCCCACAGTAGAAGTTAGAGCCTAGAGGAGCGATGTAGGCCTTGACCGTGAGGCTCTTGAGTTTTTAAAGAATGTAATAAAAAAGAAAAGAAACTTAATCATAATTTTGTAGGTTTTAGTTTTTATTTATATTAATTGAACAGTGTGTATAGAATCCAAAGTTATGCCATGAAAGTTCACTAAAACGATATTGATTTTTTTTTTTTTTTTCGGAAATTGTGTTGCCTACATATTTATAAAGCGTTGTAAAAGTTATTCCTGGAGATAGAATTGTAGTTGCGGCAGGTTTCCGCTCAAGTCGGCAACGGGTCTGGACCTTATTTT